GCCCGCAATCCAGGCATGTGCCCTGACTGAGCATCGAACTGTGACCTCCTGGTTCATAGGTATATGCTCTCCCACTGAGCCACGCCAGCGGGGCACACATGTATCTTTTCAGTATTGTAGCTTACACCTTAGGGTTTTAAAAATTTATAATCATGTCTACAATTATGAGTGTTTCTGCCCCTTCCACAAGTCCTGCCTCCTTTGTTTCCAGAACTGACAATGTTCACAGGTGCTTAGAGAAGGCGCGTGTCCGATCCTGACTGGATTTCACTGGGAAGGCCTTCAATACTTCACCTCAAGGAACGATGTTGACTCTTGTTTTCATATAGAAAATCTTATTATGGATGCAGCCCCCTATTTTAAAAAATATATATTTTATTGATTTTTTAACAGAGAGGAAGAGAGAGGGATAGAGAGTTAGAAACATCGATGAGAGAGAATCATCGATCAGCTGCCTCCTGCACACCTCCCACTGGGTATGTGCCCGCAACCAAGGTACATGCCCCTGACAGGAATCGAACCCGGGATCTTTCAATCCGCAGGCTGACACTCTATCCACTGAGCCAAATCGGTTTCGGCTCAGCCCTCTATTTTTGAGATGTTTTTTAAAATCAAAATTCATGTTTAATTTTTTTTTAAAATATATTTTATTGATTTTGTACAGAGAGGAAGGGAGAGAGACAGAGAGTTAGAAACATCAATGAGAGAGAGTCATCAATCAGCTGCCTCTTGCACACCCCCCACTGGGGATATGCCTGCAACCAAGGTGCATGCCCTTGACCGGAATCGAACCCGGGACCCCTCAGTCCCCAAGCCGACGCTCTATCCACTGAGCCAAACCGGTCCCGGCAAAATTCATGTTTAATTTTACAAAATGCCTTTTCAGTCTCCATGGAGACAATCTATTAGTTTCATTTCCTTATTTAGATTATCAGTATGGTACAGTATTAGTGATCTAAGCACCTCCAGCTTCATGGAAGAAGTCTTACATAGACTTTGCAAAGTATCCTCATATATATTCTTTGTAAAAAAATATATATTTTTTCATTTATTTCAGAGGGGAATGGAGGAGAGACAAACATCAATGATGAGAATCATTGATAGGCTGCCTCCTGCACGCCCCCTACTGGGGATCAAGCCCACAACCCGGTCATGTGCCCTTGACCAGAATCAAACCCTCTCAGTTCCCAGGCCGACGCTCTATCCACTGAGCAAAACTGGCTAGGGCTATATTCTTCATTTCAGTCACATGAATGCCTGGGAGGGAGTGATTATTTCCTGTTGGGGTAGGTGGGAATGGACTAGAAAAGGCAGGAGACAGCTGTGCAGGACGCTGGGAATTTCCATGTCTTGAGTGGGTGATGGTTGCTCAGGTGTGTACAGTTGTCAGAGCTGGAACTGACACTTAAGGGGTGAGCGCTACCCCAGGGGACGGGGCCTGCAGGGAGCACACAAGGACACAGTGTGAGAGGCACAGCAGGGAGGTTCCTCTTTGTCTCTACAGAGACTGGGAGGGAGGTGGCTGCCCCAGCTCACACAGCTGGCTGATGGTCAGTCTCACTCCTGGAATCCAGGACTCCTGACTTGAACCCAGGGGGTTTTCCATTCTATTTTACAGGGTCGGGTGGGCCCAGATGGGTCTCCGATGAGAAGGAAGCAGCTGGTTCCAGCGAACAACGAGAACCCCATAGAAAGTGAGTGATTTGTTCCCCAACAGAGGAACAGTGTCTTAACTGTAACTGTCCCTGTCACGGCAGTACAGAGCCAGGGACGCTGGAAACCGGGGGCCTATGCTGATTGTCACTGGGCCATTAGGACAGTAAATCCCCTCCCCTCCTCTCTCCCTCCACACCCTTCCTCCCACTGCACCCCATTCCATCTTGTCACAGCGATGTTCCTTACAGCCCTGTCCTTCTCTCCACCACCTTCCCCCTTCCCTGGCTGCTCAGGGCCAGGCTCACCGCGCTGAGGGCACCTAAGGGGCTGGCACTGTCAGCAGGCCCAGGGGGCTACCAAGCAGCTGACCTCTGGCAAGGCCAGATTTAAAGAGCTGTAATTATAAACCACAGGTCAGGCTTTCCATACTAGAACAAAAAAGGGATATAAAATATTCCCTGGTAATTTTTTTTTTTTTGGTTATTGGTTGCCTGTAAAGATAATATTTTGTAAGTATTGAATTAGTACCAGATAGTATTAAAATTAATATTGCCTGTTCCTTTTTATCTTCTCCAACCTAGCTATTAGAAAAACATAAAAGTGGTCCTGGCTCGCCTCATATTTCAGCGGGTCCGTGGTGTGCAGTGCGTTCCACGCACGTCTCATTGCACCCTCAGCACAGGCCCATGGAACCGGTGGGGTTTGCTCTGCTTCCGGGTTAGATTCTTGCTCAGAGTCTGCTTGTCCCTGTCTCACTCTGCCAGTTCGGTGGGTGAGGCGAGCTGGGTGTGGCAGCCCCGGACCTTACGCTCAGGAGAAGTGCAGGCTCCCTCCTCTGAGGGCCTGCTGCACTACAGTCTGTCCCACTCTGTCTCCTACCACATACTCCTCTTTTCCTCTATCCATGATGTCCATCTCCCCTCCCAGGTGGCTATCAGCCTTCCTTTAAAGCAGAATTCTCTGATGATCTTGACTCCGAAGTGCCATGGCCACAAGTGAGGCCCAGACTGGCCTGATTCTAGTACTGTTTACTGATAGGGGGAGCAGGTAAGGGACGAAGAGCAACAGGTAACCACCAGGAGGCGCTCCAGTATACAGCTCCCCTTTTTGTTGTTAATCCTCAGGGGAGGATATTTTTCCCATTGATTTTAGACTCTAAAATTTAGATGGAAGGAAGAGGAGAGACAGAGAGAAACATTGATGTGAGAGAGACTATCAATTGGCTGCCTCCTACATGCGTCCTGACCAGAGCCTGGGATTGAGCCCACAACCAAAATACATGTCCTTGACTGTAATTGCACCCAAGACCCTTCCCTTTGTGGGCTGACACTCTAACCACCGGCTAGGCCTATATCTGCCCTTTTTGCTGGTTTTCTCCACCTCACCTGACTGTCTCTGGCTTTTCCCCATTTAGCCCTGAGGGAGAGCTTCTTGGTCTTCTCAGAGTTCGTGCCCTCCGATCGCTGGGAGTACTTCATGCAGTTGGTGGGCCTCCCAGCCAATGATATCCACATCGCCCAAAAACAAGCGTCGAACCTCCGGGATGCCTTGTATGAAATGCTGACCATGTGGATCAACATCAAGGGGAAGGCTGCCTCCGTCAACACCCTACTGGAGACCTTGGAAAAAATGAAGGAAAGGTGTGCGAAGGAGATGATTGAGGAGCAGCTGCTGAGGTCCGGAAAGTATGTCTATGAAGGAGGTGAAGCAGGTTCTGCTGTTTCCAGTTAAAAGGATGACCTTTGGAGACCAGAGGTTTCCTAGTTTATCTTTTCTCCTGAAGGGGAAATAAGATTGGACACTACATGCCTGGCCAGTGTGGCTCAGTGATTGAGCATCCATATATGAATCAGAAGGTTGCGGTTCCATTCCCTGGCAAGGGCACATGCCCGGATTGCAGGCTGGATCCCCAGTGGGGGCTGTGTGGGAGGCAGCTGCTCCATGATTCTCTCTTACCATTGAGGTTTCTATGTCTACCCCTCTCCCTTCCTCTCTGAAATCAATAAGCTTGGAGAACTTTCTCTTCAAATTGGTTCATAGGCCAATGCTCAACCTCTGAGCCACACCAGCAGGGCCTGGCATTTTTTCATTCTAATAGACTTGCACTTTTTTTTTACTTGTTACTTAATGTTTTGTATAATTCACTTGTGTTGTTATATGTCCAAGTTTTTGCCTGTTTTTTTTTTTAAGTTCATTTTTCTATTATTATTGTTTATTATTGTATTATTTATTTTTTTTAAATATATTTTATTGATTTTTCACAGAGATGAAGAGAGAGGGATAGAAAGTTAGAAACATCGATGAGAGAGAATCATCAATCAGCTGCCTCTTGCACACCTGCTACTGGGGATGTGCCCGCAACAAAGGTACATGCCCTTGCCCGGAATCGAACCCGGGAACTTTCAGTCCGCAGGCCGATGCTCTATCCACTGAGCCAAACCGATCGGGCTATTGTATTATATTTTGTAAACTTATTTTTGCCCTACCCTGTATATATTAATATGTTTACTAGGTTAATCTCATCTATTAACCTAAATGGGAGAAGGGAACAAAAGTGCACAGAAATCACCGCACATCTACGGATGGTGCTCCTGGCTCCCTGCTCCCTCAGGTGCACTTTGAGCTTGTCTAGCATTAGGTGACCAGCCATTTCTGCAGCAGGATGGGGAACGTCCGGCCCTCGGGCCCTGTAAGGCCGGCAAAATCATTTGGTCTGGCCCTGCCAACGGCAACCACAAGTAGAACTTGAAATTTAAGAAATCTAGTTTTTTCATAGCAATATACATTTATATTTAGTGGACCATAATAATAATGTAAATTTTTAGGGACAAGCAAGAATGTCGATTATGGGACGTTCATAAAATATACTTTAAGTGCACTGCGAAGGTTCTAGAACATCTTAAGTGCTGTAGGCATTTGGATGATAGAACTCAAGGACTGGAAGCTTTGTCCAGGGCAGTATCCAGTACATGACAGGACAGACATGTATGCTTCCCGTCGGCTGCCCCTGGCCCGTCTGCCAGTATGGCGGTGACTCCGAGGACAGGCAGCGCAGGCAGCCTGGGAGTGCGGCTGTGAAAGTGTTAAAACACTGTGGCTAAACTGCGATCAGTGATGATGAGGCGGGGTGCGATGAGACGATTCCTCGCGACGTGGGTGACCTTGCCTCGGATAATTGGCAACGATGTTGTTGACTTCCTTGCCAACACAGATGACATTCCACTCCAACCTTTATCCAACGTCTACCATCAACAATTCTCAAAAAAAAAAAAAACACATCCCAAAACTGAATCTCGGGGGAAGACTAAGGACATTACTATACAAAGAAAAGATCTCTAGAGCCAATGATACAAATGCTGGATATGTTTCAAATCCAAGATGCAAGATTAGAACAGCGATCAAAGCAAAATCATTGCGTTGCTGACGACACACCCACTGGGCAGTTATTAAAACTTAAGGGCGTGACGTCCTACAAATGGCGACTACAAAGAAAACAAATGTTAATGCAGAGTGTTACGACAGCGGGCCGTTTTCGCTGGTGGGATAACTGCAGCGTTGGACCCGCCAGAGGAACTGCTGTCAGTGGAAGCCACGCAGGGCGCTACACGAGGGGAGGACTTGTGCGAGAGACTGTTTCACCAATGAAAAGTTTTAAGCTGACATTTGAAAAGTTAAGTGGCCTCCCTATCGATGTAGGAGCTACAGCCATGGCTGGCTCCCAAAAAGGGAGAATTGGCATCTGTCAAGAAAGAACTGAACTGTCTCAGTCTTGATCCAAGTGACTTAATTATAAGCCACTGACTGCATCCGACACCAAGAGTCTCTGCACAGTGGGTGCGGCTCAACAACGATATGTCAACCGCAGTGTCATGCATACGTGTTGTCAAAAGCAGAGGGTTTAGCCCTGGCCAGTTTTCCTCAGTGATTAGCGCATTGGCCCGCTGAGGGAACGGTCAAGGTTTCGATTCCCAGTCAAGAGCATGTATCTCAGTTGCAGTTTCTTTCTTTTTTCTTTAATCCTCACCTGAGGATAGTTTTCCGTTGATTTTTAGGGAAAGTGGGAAAGAGAGGGAGAGACAAGAGAAAAATATCGATGTGAGAGAAACACATTAATTGCTTTCCTCCTGCATGCGCCCAAAGCAGGCATGAGCCTGCAATTAGGTATGTGCCCTTGACCGGAATCAGACCCAGGACCCTTTGGTCCACAGGCCATCGTTCTACCCACTGAGCAAAACAGGCTAAGGCCCTTAGTTGCAGTTTCAATTCCTGGTCCCAGTCAGGGTGTGAGAGAGAGGTAACCAATAGTTGTATGTCTCTCCCCTCTCCCCCCTCATTTCCACTCTAAAAAAAAAAAAAAAAAAAAAAAAAAAAAAAAATTAATTAAAAAAAAATATATATACACACACATACATGTACATACATACACACACATATATATACATATATATATATATATATATATATGTATGTATCTTCACTCCATGGGTGAGGATTTTAAAAAGCAAAGCAAAAAATAATAAATAAATAAATAAACAAATAAATAAATAGCAGAGGGTTAAACAGCTGCCAGTTTAAGGAGTTACTAAATGACCTTGACTCTGCGTTATCACTGCGAAGTGTGGCGGCTGAGTCCCATGAGGTTTTATGAACTGCGGGAAGTCAGGCAGTTCTGTTCCCAACCTCGGTCCTTGTCTTATATATTATGAATTTATTCGAGAGACCTTCACTGTGCTGTGAAAAGCCAATGTATTAAAGCGATGAAACCACGTGCCTTTCTTAAAGAAGCAAAGCAAGCAAACCTATGCATCTGGCTTAGGAAGAGCCAATCTGAAGAGCCAGTTGGGTGGGGGTCCGAGGCACTGTATATACAGCCTCCTGTCTATAGGTCTCAGAACTCCTTTGTGGATTGTTTTGGTACGGATTCATTCCCAAGGCCCCTTTTTCCTTTGCTGTGACCTGCCCAGAATTCATTTCTTTTTAACCATTGGCTGGGGAAGAAATTTATTATTAGTTACAAGCTGCAGATTGCCCACACTGTATGGCCTTGTTTTAACTTTCCTGTCTCAGTTTCCCGGTTCCTTTGCCCTGGAACCCTGTAACAGTTCTTTTCAAAACTTACCATCGCCCAGAGCTGACTGCACGCCAGACTAACAGGATGGAAATGTGAAAAAGCAGTTGTGAGGAGCAACATCAAGACCAGCGACACACCTCTCCCAATGCATTGCATACCTCGCCCAAGAGAAGCAGAGCTAGCCATCACGTTAGGGAGCTTTGTTAAATGACCAAGGATAGCAGGCTAATTTTTAAGTTGATAATTTTGTACGGCTCGAGAATGATGTTCTAAATATCCACGTGGCCCTTGGCAGAAAAACAAACAAACACGTTCCCCACCCTTGCTCTAGAAGGACCACTCTTTTCCATTATGATAGTTGTTTGAATATTTATAGATAGATTTTAGTAAGTGAGAAGAGGTACGGCCCTGTGTGGGCTGTTCCTGAACTGGGCATCCTTTCCCTCATCTTTGGATGTGGGTGAGGAGGGTGGGAGATGTGCCAGGTACCTTCTATGTCATGTGCCATTTCCCATGATATTGGGGAAGTTCAGCCCTAGCGTGCTCACTTGACCGTGAGGGGAGAGGCTCACGCTGTCTGCCCTGGTCTCGGAGAGAAGTAGATGGTGCTAATATTTGATAACTTAGCATTAACGAGGCTCTCTCCCTCCTCCCCCTTATTTGGTTATTTATTGAAGCCTTTATTAGTCTGTAAACATGAACTGCACCCATCATTTCGCCCGTGGTGCTATGCGGCAGGCCAGGTACCTCCTGCCTCTGCTGTCCTGTGCAGGATGCTCTGCCCAGGTATCATCAGATGATGTGAATAACTTAGTTTCAATCAGGTTCCAATGTGGATGTCTCCTCCTTAGTTGTATGATTGTCCTGTTTATTTCTTTAAAAGGTCAGAACGAATGAGAGCTTGACGTTGTCTTTTTTATGTCCAGTTCAAATAGCACCTCGCACTTCCTAGACACTCAGTATTAATTAGAGGTTGGGTAGTTTTTCATGCTTCTCTCCAGTGAAAAGTGCCCCCTTTGAAGTTTGTTGGGAATAGCAATAATAATGCAAGGGAAACTATGAAGTACAAAATATTCATGTATTTATGAATCCATGACCAAATTAAATATGAAACCTTATATAAAAAGAGTGTGGGTTTGTTTCCTCCACGTCCGTCCTCCCATTCTCTGGAACAGCTGAGTGACGTGAGGAGTACTGGGCTGTCCTGTCCATTCTTGCTGTGGGACTTGCTCCTTCCTTTCCCCGGATGCTTTCACTGGCCCCACATGGCCGGGTTCCTGCTCTGACTCTGAATTTTCAAGTGTCAGGGCCACGGGGACTGGAATTGTAGCCCCTTCTTTATGGCCTTAACCCCAGGAGAGGAGAGCACCAGGCCTGGCCTGGCTCCCCAACCTCCAGCCTCTTCAGGTGGTGTCTCTGGCTTACACCTGGGCCTCCTGAGTTCCCGCCTGGTGCAGACCAGCTCTGACAGAGCAGTTGGGAAGGGGTGGCGAGTCCCTGAGGGGTCAGCTGGTCCTGGTTGCTGTGATGAGTCCGTGGTACCTCTCCTGTGAGCTTCCTGCACCTCCTGGGCCACCTTCCCTTGCTCCCCCACTGGCCAGGGCTCTGTCCTGTAGGCTCATGGGCTCCCATTTCCCCTCCTCGTGGACTTTACTCTCATTCTCACTTGCAGTTCCTGGGACACCCTGTGGCTCCTCGTTTCCTTCCCCTAGAGCCCTTCCCACCAGACACTAACCTGCCCTGCCCCTCCCATTGCTCCCCAGCCTCCCCCAAGACCACAGACTGGCCAGCAGAGGGCAGCACACGACCGGCATACCCAGCAGCCACCCTGAGGGGAGGCAGCCAGGGCCTTGGAGAAGTCTGGGGCTCCGACAGCATGGGTCACGCCGCTCTAGCCACCTCCTGCTTCTTCTTCGGACAGACTTAACCTGAAATCTTTAGGTCTTGGCACCACTAAGTAGTTACAAAGGCTTCCTCTGTGTCAAGTTTGTTCTCTCCCAGACCTGAAGCCTGACTCGGTGGTTGGAAGTCAGTCCCTCCTCAGGCCAGGCTCCACCCTCATCAGAGAGACTCTGTCTTCTGTCTAGAAAGGATGTGCGAGTGAAATAGGACCCTTGCAGCCCAGCTTCTCCCCGGAGGGGCTGCAAGTGCTGTCCTCATCCCCGTCTCATCCTGTCTCTTCTCTGGACCGACTTTGGAGCTGCTCATGCTCCATCCTCCCTTCCTCTTTCCCTTTATCCCAAACCAGCACTGAGGAAAGTCCTGTCCTAGGACCCTTCATCACGAAGATTCCTGTTCCCAAGTCAGTGACCTTTTTCCTGGCCCTTGACCCCTACCCCAACCCTATTTCCAAAACACATTCTGTGGGGTCACCTCTGAAGGTGAGAAGGATACCCTGCCGCTCGTGATGGGCAACAGTAACCATCCAAGGCCATGGTCAAACCCTGAGGCCAGCCTTCCCTCCCCTGCCCTCCCTCCCCCCAACCACGGGTCCCCAATGCCTACCGCTGGAGGCCTGGGATTGGTGCTGCCCCAGAGACTCCGCAGGCCGGCAAAAGCCCTTTCCTCATAGGACTGGAAACACTTTCTATAGTCTAAGCCTTTGCCTCGTCAATGCGGGGGGCCTGTTTGGTTTTATAAAAATGTAAGCCCTACAGGGTCTTTTTCTGTCCTTCCTTGGAGGGAACAGAGGCTAGAGTGTTTCTGTTGGTGGTGATTGTTTGTTGCTTTTTCTTTTTTTTGCTAATTTTTGTCCCACCCCGCAAGAAGCCATGCTAACTAGAGGAGCCCAGGATCGCCGCGACCAGACCCCTTCACCCCCTTCCTTCTTTCCCCGTTCTAGCTGTTTGCTTTGGAGCCCATCTCGGAGTGTGAAGGAGAGTGGAGGGAGACGCTTCTCATTGCACCGGGAGACCCTGCTTCCAGTCCCGGAGCTCTGAACAACTCCACTTCCCTTTCCCAGGCCGGGATGCTGGCGGCTGGGAGGCAGGCCGGCACCCCGGGAGGGGTGGCCTCCGGCAGCTGCACCCAGAAAGTGGAAGCCTTGAGCGGGGCCCTGAAGGCTTGTCTACCCTGACTTCTCCAGTGAGGGTCTGAGTTGGCTCCGTGTGGAAATGCCCGCAAAACATTTGCAACCCCCAAGTACTCTGGTAGAAAAATATGGCCAGTAGAGGCAGAACCTCCCTGGGCACCACGCTCACTGGGAGGGGGCTGCCTCCACAGACCACAACTGTCATGGCTGGACTCTAGGGTTGTCCAACCCAGAGACACGATGCCAGCACTCTCAGGAGCTGCCCCCAGTTCCCACCTCCCAGGAGCTGTCCCCTGTCCCGATTCACAACTGGGGACCTGCAAAGGAGGCCCCTGTTCTGACCCACGAGGCCCGGCTCCTCTCTGGCTGAGCTGTTGGCTGGGGAGAACAGCCCCGCCCTTAGGGTCCTGGTTAGGTGGGTCCCCCGGTCCCTGGGAGGTGGAGGGGGCGATGCAGAGAGCGGAGGGGCAAGGGCAGGTGGGCACAAGAGCAGCAGAATCAGAAGAGGGCGGCAGCATCTCAGACCACGGCGGAGGAGGAAGAGGGGGACGCCGAGGAGGCCGCAGGGGAGGACGGGGAGGAGGGGCTGTTCCAGAACAGCCACCGCCGCTTGGGCTGCCGCTTCAGGTGGAGATAGTCCTCCTTCTCACGCTCCTTCCGGGCCCGCTGGTAGTGGTCTTCCTCCTTCAGGTACCACACAGGCGGCCAACGGTGCTTCTCAAAATATTCCTGGTTTTCTGGAGCAGAACGCAGGAGGCTTTGGTTAGAGGGAGGACAGAAAGGGCGAGAGGAAATCCTGGGATGTGACGGGTGTCCAGGGACCTGCACCCCCGACCCTGATGCCTCAGGGACCTGGGCCACGAGGGGAAGCCCCTGCCTTCACAGAGCCCCAGCCTAGCTGCAGAGCTCCCTAAAGGAGCCCCGGGGAAGGACTCAAAGGCTGCTTCCTGTGCCTTGGGGATAGAACAGGCTGGGACGAAGAACGAGGCAGGGAGCAGGTGCAGCACGGCGGGGCTGAGGTAGCAGCATCTGGTGGGGCTGAGGCTCTGAGCTGAAGGAGCCATGAGCCACAGAAGGGTCAGCCCGAGAAGGCGAGGCTGAGAGGTAAGGACTGATTCTGAAAGGCTAGGGGGCCAGGGGAAGGATGGAATCAGGGGAGTGATGTGATTGGGGCTGTGCTTTAGAAAGAAAACGCTCCAAGGGGGAAAGGGCGAGCATGGGGCCCAGCAGAGTGGAGGTTGCCCAGTGCGGACCTCAAGGTCACCGAGTGGCAGGAACTCGGGGAGGCCAGGGACACCTCTCCCAGGTGCCGGTGCAGTTCCTGTTGGGCCCCAGGACCTGACACATACACGACGCAGAGGCTGAGTCCCAGGGCCTCAGAGGCCACCCGGATCTGTGCTCCCGAGCCATTCCTACCTTGTGAAACCAGTGCAGCATCATGAGCAGAATTACAAACAATAAGCGAGGGGTCAGCAGGCCCTGCGGGGAAGCTCACCTGGGGACATGGCCTTCATGTCTCGCGGGAACTTGCGGCACACGTTGTTGTAGTTGGTGCAGATGTGGTGGAGACACCAGTCCGCCAACTGATACGCGCAGTGGAACTGGGGAAACACACAAGAGCACTGTGCTGGGACCCAGGGCGGAGTCAGCACGGGCAGCTCAGATGCTGTCAGAGCAGAACCATGAGTGCAAAGGCCCTGCAGTGAGTGGGAAAGCCCACCTGGGGAGGCACACCACACACGCTCTTGGCACCACCATGATCACCACCACCACTACCACCACCATCACCATCACCACCACCATCACCATCACCACCACCACCTTCACCACCATCACCACCTCTACCACCTCGCCTCTGTCCTGGGCCAGCATCCATGGAAATCCCTGGCCCTACATTGTGGCTTCCTACTGTGTCCGCCTCCTCAGATCTCACTCCGGGCGCTGTTCTCTCTTCCCCGCCCAGGGCCAAAGCAGTCTACACTAAGGTGCTGATGACTAGGCTTAGAGCGCACTCTCCAGGTGTGTCTGCAAGCCGCGAATCTGCTCCAACTCCAGAACTGATCGTTAGTGCTAGAAGGGCCGGCGTGGGGGATGCTGCTAGTTTGTACGGGAATAAGGAGGTGGGCAGTTAAATTTAGAAGGGAGTCCTGCGTGTCCTTTAACTGACATCAGGCAGGTAGCAGCCATGCCTACCCAGGAGGCTGGGGTTTGCTCCCCTACCCGATGGCTGCCTAAAATCTCAGCCCCTTGTTCCCATGCTCCCATGCCAGCTCTCCTCCTGGCAGGTCAGGGTGCATCCTCTGGCCAGGAGGCGGAGAGGGATCTGCGCACTCAGGGAACTGAGTCTGACAATGAGTTCCCCTCCTACCTGCCATCCCCTAGGCCCTCCCCTTGCACGGCCAATGGGCAGACAGAGCCCAGGGTTGAGCCTGTTCGAGAGACCCCTTCCCTGGCCATCCTACCTGAGCCAGTTCCAGGAACACAAGGACGTCCCCATCGATGTCCACCATCATCTGCGTGGCTTCCATCAGCCCGGTCACGGTGTACTGCTCTGTGACACACACAGCCGGGGATCAGCCGGAGAAGCACATGAGTGCCCATGTGCTCACTTATACCCCCCAGCAGGGGCCTACTGCCGGGCAGAGAGAGAGAACAAGGCCAAGGGCAAGTCCCAGCAGGCCCAGGAAAGGCCGCAGGCGATTAGAGTCGTCGGCTCTCACCGAGGTAACCGGAATTAGAGCAAGACTAGCCCAGCAGAGTGGGGTGGGAACGGAAGGAGAATGCTAGTATTGTCTAAGAGGATTTTTTCAAGCTATATATGCTGCTTCAAATAGTCTGATACATGTAGGAGGAAAGCCCCTGCTGGAATCAGCCATTGCCACTGTCAGGGGAGGGTATGAAGTTAGGTTTGCTGAGAACTATGAGTTAGAACTCCAAATTAAACCTAGCTGCTGGTAGTAACTTAAATTTTAGAACAAAACGTGTATTAGTATTGCATTTTAAGTTACTGCTTATACTGAAAAAGTAAACACTTTTAGTTTATACTGAATTTTAATAGTATCAGTATAAACTTCTGAGGTATTTTATCTTTAAAAATATATTTCCCAGCTCAGTCCTAGCAAAATGGAAACGACCTAGCAGCAACAGCCCTCGCAACAGCAAGGAGCATTCCTGGTGCCCAGGCTGCAGCCCCGAATGCCATTTCCGGCTCTCGGGAACCAGGATCTCATAGAGAAAGGGCTAATTTGGTGTCCGGGGCAGGAAATGAACACAGGGATCCTGGAACATCTCATTCCATAGAACTAGAAGCACAGCAACTCTGGAGACAACTTGAAGAGACTTGTACTGGTTAAAGGTTCAGTACAGTGTTTGAGATTCAATAAAGATAAATGCAAATGTTTGAAACCAATCAAGTATGTTCAATCTAAGGGTTCATAATAATACTTAAAATACAAACAAACATCTAATTGGTCACCCTCAAAGGATGAAAGGATAGGAAACAAATTTATCTTGAAATCTGGATAAAGGAAAGAATCAAGCAGCCACCTGCCTCTCCTATGTGAATTACACCACAGGTTAACTAACCAGTAGGTGAGGAGTTTTTCTCTTTTTAGAAATAGTCCAACAGATAAACAAAGGGGGAATGATTGAATTGGAGCACTACCATTTCACATCTAATAAATGAACGGGTCCAGGCAATGGTACTCAGTGGCTGGTAACATCACAGCAAGAGAGAAAAGCACAGAAACAAATTATGAAGTTGTCTTACCCAAAGAAAACTGAATGTGAATGTGATCTGGCCTCTGTGTCTAATAACCAGTCTGTGGGAAGAGGGGTGCTACATAGAAATACAATCAACTACAAATCTACATTTTCTAGATCAATGGGTGTTTTCCAACAAATAATTGCAAGGGGAAATGTTTCTCTTTCTCTTTTTTTATCCTCACGTGAGGATATATTTTTGTTGATTTTAGAGAGAAAGGAAGGGAGAGGAAGAAAAAAAAAACCACACACAGCAATAGATTGCCTCTCATATGCAACCTGACCGGGGAAGGAACCTGCAACCTGAGTACGTGCCCTCACTGGAAATTGAACCTGTGGCAAGGGATGATGCTCCAACCAACTGAGCACATTGGCCAAGGAGGGAATATATTTTTTATTAACAAGGTACCTATAGATGAAAAACCATGCTATAGTGATTAAGGATGTACACTTGGATGCTAAAACTATGAAGAAGACCAAGGAAGTGAGGCCATAAAAAACACCTCCCAAAAGAGTAATAACCCTAACCCTAATCCTAACCCTAACCCCTAGCCCTAACTCTAACCCTAACCCTAACCCCTAACCCTAACCCTAACCCTAACCCTAACTCCTGGGGAGGAGGGAAGGACTGTGATTGGGCGGGATGGCTGGAACACTTCTGGTGTCGCTGGAAACTTCTAGCTCCTGATATGGGTCATTTTGCTTTATAATAATTCATTAAGTTGAACATATGTGTATTTGTGTTATCTATAATGATAAAAGGGTCTTCCGGATGTCATTCCAGAACATCCTTCCTGATGAAGCTGGGGCTGGAGGGAAGCCAGTCTGGGTCCCGGGTGCCGAAGGGAAGCTGGTACCAGCAACTGGGGACAGGAAGGCCTACTCTTGCACGAATTTTCGTGCATCGGGTCTCTAGTATTTAATAAAAATGGTTTAAGTTTGAATTTATAACTTCAGAGAGAGCATATCTCACAAAACATAAAGCTTCACCAGCTATACCATACCCGGCATTTTCTGCTGATTCTTGACAAGGTATACACAATACATTTTTGTACATGATTTCTAGCGTGCATAGACCATTTATTTCATGGGAAAAGTCACTCAAGATTATTTTCTATGAGCCTTTCTGTGCATCACTGCCATTTAACATTTTTAATGGCTCCCTGATGAAAATTACCCACGTGTGCTTAACCAGTAGTGCCTATTTGACTTGTCTCTGATTGCCCACCATGATGAAACAAACTTACAGAAGCATCTTTATATACGTTTTTCCTTTGAGTCATTTCTTTGGAGAGAGTCTTTCTAAAGTTGAATTACTTTCCCAGCTGGTGTGGCTCGGTGGTTGAGTGTTGACCTATGAACCAGGAGGTCATGGGTCTATTCATGGACAGGGGACACGCCTGGGTTGCAGGCTCGGTCCCCAGGAGGGGGTGTGTAGGAGGCAGCCGATCAATCATTCTTTCTCATTGATGTTTCTATCTCCCTCTCCCTTCCTCTCTGAATCAATAAAAATATTAAATAAATAAAATAAAATAAAGTTGAATTACTTGGCCCAAGGATGTGGACAGCCTATGTGGTCTGGGGAGACCGCACCACTTTTCGTGGGCAGCGCGGATGCCCTCCTGCTACAGCGATGATCTTCAGAAGCCTCCCTCTTGCTCCCTGTCCTTACGCCCTCTGTGTCCCCTGGACACCCTCTGCAGGCTCAGCCCTTACCATTCCGGTTCTGATCAATGATTCCTGCTGTCTTTCTATGACCAAGCCCTAACTTACAGCCATTGCTCATCATAAGATTGATGCTTCCCTCATAACTGAGTCCCAGATTTGATCATCTGCCCAGGGCCCCAGCAGCTGGCATTGGGGCCTTCCCTGAACCTTGACCCAATGTCAGAGGCCTGCTCTCTGCCCACCTGCTGACCAGCCAAGAATAAAACCCCGATATCAACACCAGTCTAGGTACCAATGCCAACACCAATACCACAGAGATCCCAATTCCAACATCACCAGGAGCTGTCTGTCTGCCTGCATTGCTGGCCCCGACTCTCATGGTCTGCCACTTGGCTTCCCTCTCGCCTCAGTCCCTGTTCCCCGAGGGCCCTCTAAGGCTGGTGCCTTCCAAAAGCTAAGCTCCAGTCCTGGCCAGGTGGCTCAGTTGGTGGGAGTGTCTTTCCATACACCAAAAGGTTGCAAGTTTGATTCCTGGTCAAGGCACATACCTGGGGTGTGGGTTTGATCCACAGTTAGGGAGAATATGGAAGGCAACCGATTGACATTTCTCTCTCTCTTTAAAATCAGTAAAAAAAAAAAAAAAAAAAAAAAAAAAAAAAAAAAAATATATATATATATATATATATATATATATATATATATATATATATCTTGGGTGAGGATTAAATAATAACAATAAATAAACAAACAAATAAAATAAAAGCTGAGCTCCAGTTCTCACAATCTTTTCAGTGAATTAGGAGTGCCAGGTCAATGCTCATTGTCTGTTTTTAGAAGAAGAAAGAGAAAATAAAGGTGGAAGAGAAAAGGGAGAAGAAGAGAAAGGAAAGGATACAGAATAAACCAAGCAGATTTATATGACTGAACGAAACAAAGGAGAGGGAGGAGGAGCAAAGGGTGGAAATGTGGAGTCCTATTCTCTCTGACCCTCAGGCTCTCCTGAGGGAGCCACGCTGAGCAGAGCTTCAGGCACTGGTTTTGTTGGGCGGGAATCGCCTTTGGATACGACCTACCCGTGACTCCATCGAGCATCTTTCGCACACACACTTCTTCACATCTGTGTCCTCGCCCAACCTCCATACATGTCAGCATGCTTCCTTTAGGTAAGCGGGTCCCTTGGTGCTAGGCAATCAGTGTAACCCCGAGGAGGACACAGGCGAGAGAGGCCAGCACTGCTGGCGGGTGCCCCGCCTCCCCCACCCTCCCAGAGAGGTCTGCCCACTCGTCAGTCACCTGTGAGGGCCACCAGGTGGGGCAGGCAGAGGCGGTTGGCCAGGATGATGAGCTTCATGTCGTCCAGGTCGGGGCTGGAGGTGAACATGCCTGTGTACAGGTACTCCAGCACCGCCCGCATGCAGCTCCTGCTCGTGTGCGGGAACACTACCTGGGCAGGAGGAAGCCGCCGCAGTGAGGTGAGGTCCATGTCAGGAAGAGTCCCTCAGTTCTGAGAAATGCAGAAGGCCCTGCCCCACACGGCCAGCCTCCCCCACACAGGGAGCCACCCCTGTGCAGCCCCTGTACCTGCCGAGGAGCCCCCAAAGGCCTGTCTCCCAAAGAGACAGCCTGTGCTAAGGCCATCGGCTGGCCACACCAGGGAGCAGGGTTCTAACAGCTTTTAAAAGGGCCTGGTTCCCTGCAAGAGGCAGCTGATGGATGATTCTCTCTCATCAATGTTTCTAACTCTCTATCCCTCTCCCTTCCTCTCTGTAAAAAATCAATAAAATATATTAAAAAAAAGGGGGGGGGGCGCTGTTTCTCCCTGGCACCCTCCCAAAAGCATCCTGGCTTAGAGGATGCTGGAGGCAGTCCTCAGGTCACCTATACCCACAGCCTGGCTCCTCCCAGCCTGCCAGCAGCAGAGCAAGTGAGATGTGGACAAGCAAGCCAACCTCAGCTGGCTTCTCGAAGCTGCTACTTCTCAAAGCCTCCGGGATCTGCTCCGAGCAGTGCTGCTTCAACAACTGCTTTCTCTTGAGGCGGAGTCTTAGGCTGCGCTGGGGACCGGCTAGAGCTTTGCAGCTGCTCCTATGGTAACTGAGAAGTGCTCGGGACTGGCTGGCTCTGGGGCTTCCGAGTCCCTAGTCCCTCACTTAGCAAATCCCAACCCCACACCAGCTTCAAGGATCAGAGAGACCCACTCAAATCTCAGCCTCGGCTGAGCTTCTCTTCCGAAAGGACTTCCTTCCCGGAAATCCTAGGAAACTCCTATTCCGTGTGGCAGGGGCCGTGCTGCATTGCTGTCAGTCCAGTTTTCCCTCCAGGCACTTGGCTGAGGGGGTGCCTGGCCGAAGGAGAGCCCCAGTCCCTGCACTCAAGCCCTCCCAGACCAGTTGGGAAGCCGTGTGTGCACACTCAGCACTTTTCGCAGCTGCACAGAGGAGCACTTTGTTAACTGCAAGGCTGCGTTAATGAATAATTAATGTAAGAGAAGTTCGGGGAAGATGGAGAACACCGAGGCCACGGCCCAGGCTGCTCTGCTGAGCTGGGAGAAAGCAAAGAACAGACCTGAGAAAGTGTCTCTGAGGACACACCGATGGCCCCTCCCAACTCTGCTGACTCTCTGTCCTAAGGTGAGCCGAAGTGGCCGCAATCAAAGGGAAAGGGATTGCTGTGAAGCCTTTTTTATTTCCTGTATTTTGATGCTGTGTCTCCTGCAGCCTTGCTGAGTCGGAAGGCCTATCCTGCTCAGGGCTAGCCAGCTCCTACAGGCAGTAAGGGAACCCCTTTTGAATGCAAACCAAACAATCCAGAATCCTCAACACCCTGTCCCTTCCTCCCCCACCTCCTTGATCAGCTAGAACCCCTAGCCACTATCAACTTGCCCTAATGGCCCCAGAGCCAGGCACAGAAACCTAGGACAGCCCCCATGCCCCGAAGCCTACTGCATTAACCGAGCTATCCGATAAGAGAGCTTACCCTGCCTCTCCTCTCCCTCCTTCCCAGGAGACCACAATAAGGGCCACTGCCCACAGCTCCCCTTGCTCTCCGTCTCCTGACCAACCCTGGTGCCTCCATCCCCACCTCTCATGTGCGTTCTCTGATTAGTTCTGTGCGTGTAAAAATATATCTTCTCAATGGCCATCTAGTCCTGATCTGTTATGTTCGCCATGCCTCAATGAATAAAACTTACATTTGAAAACAGCGATGAGGTCAGCCAGGGACACACTGACCTTTATTTTTCCAGTTGCTTCTTATGCGTCAGGGAGAAAGGTACACTGAAGAGTCAGAGGTTCTACATTCAAGTTCTAGCCTCTCCTTTCCGCATAGACAACTTTGCATGAGTCATTAACTTCTGGGGCCCTCGCTTCCCTTCTGTATAAAGCGGGAATGCTGAGCCACGTACAAGAGGCACGGGTGAGGCAATCTGAGAGTGCTTTCTAAACTACAAAGTCAAGATGTTCCTATGATTCTTCCATCCTGACCTATTGTAAGTCCTTGGCGATGGGCACCACCTCATAAATGTCCCCCAGGCCCATCACACAGCGGGTGCGGAGGAAAGCACCACGACATGGCTCATCTCGGGTGGGAAGCAGCCTTACCTCCCTGGTGGAACTCTCCACAAACGGCCCCCCGAACATGGCAGCCATCCAGTCACAGCTGGAAATCAACAGGGGCTTGTGGGCGCTGATGGTGCCGTCGTCCAGGATGAAGGTCACGTCTGCCCAGGAGGAGACGAAGCACCACGTGAGGATGCGGTGAAAGCACGTGGGGCAGCCCACCCCTAGGGCCAACCCTGCCCCCAGGCAACACGCCTCCTTCTGAAGCCACAGCCAGGACGCGCCACGTGGCCCCACACCCAGGCTCCAGGCAGAACCAGCGCCTCGAAGGGCATCAGCAGCTGAGCGCTCACCGGGGCCCCGGCTCCTCGGAAGGCTACCGGGAGGGCACCCGTCTGCCTTCTGGCCACGAGTTCCTCGGCGCATCCCCTACCTGAGAAGGTGCCCTTGGCCAAGCACTCCTTCACCCGGTTGGTGCGGCGGACGTGGAAGGCCTTGGTGATCTCCTGGTTCATGAAGGCCTCGTTGTTGAGGATGTTGGCCACCATCATGCGCAGGTCGAAGACCTCCAGCAGCTCGGCGATGTGGGCGATGTGCATGAGGTCCCGCTCCTTCTCGTCCAGCTCCCCCGTGTACAGGTACTTGAGAACGGCCCGGAAAGGCCCCGGCTGGATGGAGCTGTCCATTTTGACCACCACCATCAGTCTGGATTTGTAGGTCAGCGGGTCTTCCGCCATCTCCTCCTGGATGCTCAGGAAAGCCCGGCTCCAGGAGGACAGCACGCGGCCTCTCCCGGGCAGGTAGCCTGTCCCGTTGCCCCGTAAGATGCCGTCACTGGTGGAGGCCCGGAGCCCGGCGGGGCCCGAGCCCGCCCCGTCCTCCACGCTCTCGCACACGTCGAAGCTGGCTGCCCGGAGCAGGAAGTCCCGGCCGTGGTGGTGGTGGTGATGGTGGTGGTGTGGATCGGGGTGAGCCCGGGGGTCCTCTGGGCGGGGGCCCCCCGGCCCCGAGGGGCCCCCCAGCTCCCCGTCGCTCAGGTCCATGAGGAACAGGTCGTAGAACTTGGAGGAGGACGTGGAGAGGTAGATCTTGTGGGCGAAGATGCGCACCCGCTCCTGCAGCACCAGGATGACGTCCGCGCACAGCGGGTCCTCCAGGAGGTGGGCGGGGCACTCCTCGCTGCTGGAGGGGGGGTCGGGCACCACGATGATGGGGGGCGGCGGCTTGGGGGGCAGGAAGGGCGCCTGCAGCAGGGGCCGCTGCACGTTGCGGAGGTGGGACTTCCAGAACTGCAGGTGGCGGCGGGAGATGAGGGCCGCGCGGATGGCGTTGTCGAAGACGTCCTTGATGCCGAACTGGGCCACCACGCTGGTCTCGTAGTAGGGGATGCCCAGCTCCTTGGCCACCTCCCTCCCCTTCTCGGGGGGGAGAATCTCATTGGGCTTGATAGGCCTGGACAACCAAGAGGGTAAAGCAGAGTCATGCTAGGGAGGATGGCGGACAGGGAGAGGCAGGTCCCTAGGGCCTGCCTGTTCTTCACCAGGCTTGGTGGGGGGTGGAGAGTGGAGGGACTGAGCTGGGCCTCACCCCTGCCCAGCTCAGTCCTAATGAATCTCTGCCCTTTCTCCTTCGTCTGACCAAATCCTGCCGGTCCTCAAGGCCTGCCTCCAGGTCCCTCTTTTCCAGCACCTGTCAGGCCCCGGCGATTTCCCGCTCAGAGCAGTGTTAGCCCTACCTCTCCCTCCGGCCGTCAGCATGCGATTTTCCACACTGGCTTTTCACGTATTCTCATACTGACACATTTCGGACCAGCCGTTCTACTGCTAGCTTTACCCAGTGGCCAGGTACGTGTCTACTGAATGAGTACAAAGGACGTTTCACATAAATGCCAAAGGCACACTTTAAAATGAAATGCCCACTTCGTTCTGAAGTTATTTACTACCTGTTCTTACAAGCCGTTATCTTTTTAAAGGAGTCTCGCGTGATTGGCCCCAAGCCTTAGAACAGAAAACTCGAGAATTCTCGTGATCCGTCCGCAATGTGTTAAGTCCATCTCCCAGCAAGATAAGCTCCTTCCACGAAAAACCTACTTCTCTCCTTCTCTCCTCATGCTGCTCAGTAGAGCAAACACAGTGTGTAAGAGATGGACGGATAGACGAGTAAATGAAAGACAGCACTCTTGGCTCCCTGTGCGGACTTGCTTCAAACAAAGGGAGAGATGTAAAGCTAAGTGGATTCCCTCGGGACTCGGCAGGGAGCCATGGAGACACCCCCTCCTTCTGTCTCCCTCATTGCCCCCTCCTGGCACCAGCATCCCTACCTAGCCAAGGGCCGCCTGGCCCTGTTGACAGCCTCCAGGTCGGCATAGCGCAGGTCCAGCTGGCAGCCCACCAAGATGACAGGTGCCCGGGGGCAGAAGTGCTTGATCTCTGGGTACCACATGGTCTTGACATGGTGAAGGGAATTAGGGTTGGCGATGGAGAAGCACAGAACCACCACGTCGGACCTGGGGGTGGGAGAGGGAGGTCTGGGGCAGAGAAAGCTGGCAGAGTCCCTGCCCCTGGAACCAGGGAGAACAGGCACACCCTCCCCGGCCCTGCACGGCAGTCCCCCATCTGTCATGTGACCTGTGCACACGATCTTACCCAAAATGTATAATAATAGTTCCTCTAATTTATGTAGCTCTAATTAAGTGTTTTAGAGCTTTCGTTTTGACCTACTGGCTCCCTTGTCTTTGGTACCTAGAGACTGAGAAAAACCATCTCTGAACATCTCCTCTGATTGCCCCAAGTCGCAGAGCTAGTTGGCAGAGGGACCGGTAATGAAACCAGGCTTCCTGCCCCCAAACCCACTCCGCGCACCTCCCGGCTGCTCCCCGTGAGGACCCACCAGGCCTGTCTGCACTATCTCCTTCCCAGTTTGACTACACTGAGTGGCCAGATTATGATGATCTCTGAACGCATAATGATCTGGCCACTCAGTATATATTAGAGGCCCCGCACATGAATTTGTGCATGGGTGGGGTCCTGCCAGCCTGGCCAGGGGGAAGGGACATGGGCGGTTGTCTGGCCTGCCTGCTGGTCGAACTCCTGGTTAAGGGCACAATTTGCATATTAGCCTTTTATTATATAGGATGTACACTGAGTGGCCAGATTATTACGTGTTCAGAGATCATCATCATCTGGCCACTCAGTGTACATCAGAGCTGCTCAGCGTTGGGGGAAGGGGGAAAGCCCGCCCAGGCTCCCTCCGGCAGCAGAGGCCTCCTACCTCCCGTAAGCGAAGCGGCGGTCTTTGTGGTGGTCTCCGAAGGTGTCCCAAAGGCGCAGGGAGACGCTGACGTCGTCTACCACATCTCGGGAGCGTTCCAGAACCTGTGGGGGAGGGAGCGTGCGATAGGCGTCAAAAGCAGGAGTCCTTGGGGCCCGCGTGTCAGCTCAGGGTGGCGCCAGCTCACCCCGGAGGGTCCCGGGCAGCATGGGGGGTGAAGGGCAGAGTGAGCACGCCCCATGTGCCCCGCACAACCTTTCTATCCAGGTGCCTTCTCTACAGACTCAGTAACAAGGGCACCTCCATGCCGCCCAGGGGGAAAGAGAGGCTAAGCGGGCAGAGGGTCATGGGGGTTCCCAGCGCCACCTGCAGATCCCCTGTCTGGCAGCCTCTGACCTTTTGGTATCAGCCAGCACTTTTCTTCTCTCAGCTTTCACCCCGGCAAACCCCGCCCCACCCCACCCGCTAGGGCTCCCCCTTCCTGGGGCTGGGATTGCACCAGACGTTGTGCCCTGGCATCAACTCAGTCATGCTAAACTCTAATGGTGGAGGCACCCACACGGGGGTAGGCTCCCCTCAGCCCTCCGTCCAGGGCTCCTTCCTCTTCAGCTGCCCTCCCCTCCCCCACGGGGCTTCCGTGAGCTCAGCACAGGCCAGGCCTGCAGACGCCAAGCAGTGGTTTGGGAAGAAGCCCGGGGGCCTGGTGCGGACCCTGCCCCGCGGCCTTGCAGCCTTACCTCCTGGCATACCCGATACTGGTCGATGGCCCACACCGTGGGCACATGGGTGGCGAGCAGCTGGTACTGGGTGAGGGTGGCATTGCAGGCCCGGGCGCAGATGAGCCTGGTCTTGCCCACGGCGTTGTCCCCCACCACAACGCACTTGATGGTCTCTACGTTTGGCCTTTCATAATCCATGTCAGAAGCCATTAATTGGGACCTGACGGAGAGGAGAGAAGGGGTCAAGGCGGCTTCGCACACCAGCTCCCCCGGGGCCGGGGCCGGGGCGGGCAGCTCTCCTGGGCCGGGGCGCCCCTGTGCCAGCCGCTGAGCCGAGAGGAGAAAGGAGTGGGCAGCTCTCTGGGCAGCAGAGCCCACTCAGGCTGAGAGAGGAGCCTTTCCACGGGAGGAGCCACGTGTCTCCCTCTGGTGGCCGCCATCCTCCCCGTGTGCTTCTGGATGGAGGCGGCCTGGGAGAGAACCGGGGCGGAGCAGTCCCGGCTCCCGCAGAGGGAGGAGAGCCCGTCCCGGAGGCTCACTCATGGTCCACGCTCCGGCCAGCACAGCACCGGCTCCCACAGAGGGAGGAGAGCCTGTCCCGGAGGCTCACTCATGGTGCTCTGGCCAGCACAGCACCAAACAGCGGAGGGAAGCGAGTCAGGGCCAGGGCCCACCCCTTCCCAGCACACCCCAGGGCAGGGCCGCTTTAAAGTTTAATGGACTTGTCAGGGCAGGAGGCCGCGCCCCTGGCCTCCACCTCCTCCTCTCTCCATCTCCGGTGGTGGATTTCCAAGCCCCAGCTCCCTCTAGGGCGGTGCCGGAGCTTCCCTTCCAACTGGCCGGGTGGGAGGCTTCTGGACGCACCTGCACAGCCCACCGGCCTCCCGTCCCCCTGTGGGTCTGTCACGTGGCCTGCGTGGCTGGCCCACTCAGCGGCAGGCCCAGTTTGGAGATGGAGGTAATGGGTAGCCAGGGGCCAAGGACGATACTCTCCATGGCCAGTGGGCCTTGCCATCCCCTACCCAGGCCTGCCCTGCACACATCCTCCAGCCAGCCTCCGAAAGAATGAGCTATACCCCCTCTTGTACCTCCCATTCCTAGGGAGAGGGGTTCTCAGGCTAGGAGTCCCTGTCCCTCCGTCCCCACCTCTTCCCTCCGCCAACAGACACCTGACTTTCCTAGGAGACTCCCTAACTTGGCTCTGATGGCTATGGGGCTGCTGGGGAGAGGGAGCACAGGGTCAGAAATGGCCTGGGTTTCTGGGTGAATGCTCGCTTCCGTTTCCTCCTGTGTTGGGCGGAGAGGGCTGGGTGTGTCCACCCTCAGAGGGGGGTGGCTCAAATGAACAAACAGAAGGACCCCTACAACCCACATGTCATGTCAGGGTTTAAAAAGCTGTCACCAGGAGGGGCCCTCGGCGTGAGGGGGCTGTCGTGGCAGCCTCCCGGCCGGCACCACCCTCTCAGAAGCTGGGGCAAAGCAGGCATCATTCGGAGGCGTGACCACCAGGCCTTGGTTCGGGCAGCGTCGTTGGTCTGGCCCTGCTCACACGTCCTGTGTGAATGAAACCCGCTGGGGGCTGGAGCAACTTGGAGAGAACCTTCCAAGCTCAGAGGAGTCTGGAGGCCGTCCAGGTGCCCTCACTGCTGAGCCACCCAGTCCGAGTGCCAGGCCACCAGCGGCCGGCCCAGGAGCGCCATTCCTGCCGGGCTGTAACTGGATGCCAGCCTGCAGGAATGCGGAGTCAAAATATCCAAGTAACGATGGCAACTGGGGTGTGCGCAAGTGGATGCATCTCGGCGACCTAAGCAAAAAGTGCAGCAAGGACTTCTCAATGAGACACGTGCCTCCTCCTTGGAATTTTACAGGATCTGGACCCGGGACAGCAAGGGTCTCCATGCAGGCCCTTCCTCAGTGTCCATCTTCCTCTCCCTCCTCCATCCCACCCTCACCTTCCCCCTGGGGGCAACCTTTACTGTTACCACCACGCCGCCTCCTCCCTGCTCTCCCTCCCTCCCAGCCACTGAGGACCAGGAGCCCTGCTTTGACCGCTCCTGGACTCAGGCAGGCAGCTGGGAGGCTGTGCTGGCGCTGGGAGGGATCATCTGGGTTGTGGTTTCTGTTTCAATTGAAGAACAAAACAGACCGAACCCCAAATACAAACACAGACACAGCTGTAGGAGAGAAAGGAAAACATTCTAGCCAGGAGAACTTGGGGGGTGGGGGGTGGGGAGGGAGTGGGGCAGTGTGAGGAGGCACGGAGAAGGAGGGTCAGTTCTTAAGTCCAGGAGCGTCCTGATGGCAGGGAGGATGCCGGAACAGCAGAGCGGTGCCAGTCCAAGATCGGCAAGTTTACGATAAAGCACTCAGGCACAGGCGCATCCCTCAGCAAGGCGGCATGGCTTCCGAAGGAGGTGGTGCTGATGCTGTGGCCACCAGCTCGCATCCCCACAGGTCATTTTCCTGCTCTTTGTCCCAACATTATATCCGTCCCCTCGCGCCCTGGTTTCCCTTTTCAGACCATCCTGACCATGAAGAGCCTCACCATCTGCGATGGGAAAGGAGTGCGCTCTTTACAGAAATGGAGCTGCGAGTCAGAAACACTTGCATCCCAATCGCCTTACGCCTGCGGGGTCACGTAGGGACAGCCTCCCCAGTAGGAGAGCGCCGCGCGCTGGGCTGTGGGTTCGACACCAGACCCCGCTGGCTGCTGCTCAGACTGGATGGCCCCTCTCCGCCCTTCCTCCCCCTGCTCCTCCTTCGTGTCCTCCCTATTTCCATCCTTCTCACCCCCCTCCGCCCCTGTCCCCGCTGCCCGCCTGGCAAACTTCTTTGTCCTGTCTAGGAAAGGGCAAACCACTTCACTTCTCCGGGTGTGTCAGTCTGCCCTGCTGCAAAATGGGTGTGAGGGCTCTGGGCGCAAGTCTCCCGAGCCTTGGTGAATCTGTGCCAGTAGAGGCTGGGCCGAAAGAAGGCCTTGGCCTTCTTATGTAACGTGGGATTATATAAGACTAGATTACATATCTATATGTGTAATTATATCGCGCTTTAAGATATAGCCTGGCCCAATGGAGCCAGCAGAACGCTTAGTTTCACCGGGCCTGCCTGAAACAGAGACCCTGCTGCACTGCAGCCGGCCGCCACCAGCCACAATGCAACTTTCCCTCTAAAATATTGCTACTTTTACTGTGTCACTGATGATGGGTGACGCTATAGCCCACTCCATGAGCTTCTCAACTTCCCGTTCCCTTCTGGCACTCTCTCCTTCAATGACTCTTGACTTTTCTGCACAATTGCCTCATCCCCACGCCTTCCGAGAATCCTGAATAACCTCCGTGAACGACAGCTCCCATGCCACCCTGGCCTGGCATCACAACACGCAATTCCCTCCTCTCTCAGAGGTCCCAGAGTCACCCAGATGCTCCCTCCGCACCCGGTCCCATGATCCCCGCTCCCTTTCCAGAAACAGCCTCCTGCCCACTGCGCTCCCAGCTCTTGGTACTCAGGGCAGACCGAAAGGCAAGGTGCGCTCAGATGATCTACAACCCTCCTCCCTGGACCCCAATCCCACCCCCACACCCCTACAAACACACTCGGCAGAGCCCGGAGAAGCCCCCCTTCCCCTTCCACAGCTGACGGGAGGCTTGTTCATCTGCGGCTGCCCTAGTCTGGTTGTCAAGGAAACTACAGAATCTCCCTGGGAGCCTGGCTGGTCTCCTAGCAACCAATATCCCACACCTCGCATCTTACCAAATGGATAAAGCAGGAATATCCTAAAAATGAAGGTAAAGATAAAAGGGGAGGGGTGGATTGGGGAGAGATGAGCAGAGAGGGGGGCCTTCAAATGAAAAGAGGCTGCGACCAGAGCCTCTGACATTGTAATTAATATGAGGGAAAACAGAGAGATGAATCCCCGGAAGATCCAGTGGTCAGCAAGGCCCAAAGGGATCTTGAATGACCATCTTAACAGAAACGCAAAACCTAACACAGACCAATCCTTCTCAGACACCAACGACCAGTGCTGGAGATTTCTCCCAGTAGTTTGCCAGAACTCAGATGCACAGACCGCAATGTGTCGGGTTGAAAAAATACATACATATCTGGAAGGACAAGCAAAGCACCCAGATTCCATTCGTTTTTAACGGAAACATGTCCACCACTCTGGACCCTTTTTCCTGACACACGCACACACATACAGAATAAAAATAATAAATATAAAGCGGGCAGGGGACACCCCAAGGCAATCAAGCTCTCTTCCTTTCCCCAGGAAACAAACAAACAAACAAAAAAACACAAACAAAAAACGGAAAAGATCAGTCCCTTGCCGCCTGAGACCCCAGCAGCTGCCACGATAGCCCCGGGGAGAGTGGGAGCCGCCGAGGGGGAGCCAGGAGGGGCGCAGACCCGGCCCGGAGGGCGCAGCGGCGCGTTCCCAGAAGCTGTTTGCAACCCGGCCATAACAGGAATTAATCATTTACTTACACCACTACATGTGACGGGGTGATTTCTAGTGTAAGGAACACATCGCTTCCTGCTAAGCACGCTCATCTTAGAGAAATGTCTGGGGTCACTCCGCGCGTGCAAGTTAGGGCGATGCCGGCGCCGCCGAGCTGCTGCTGGAGCTGCTGCCCGGGCTGCCGCCGGGGCTGCCGCCGCTGCTACAGGCCCGGGCCCTGGCGCGTCAGATCAGAAACTCCGCCCGAGCAGCCGGGGCCGGACGGCGGCCCGGGAGCGGCCGCGCGCGCCACTGCAGCCCTCGCCCCTTCCGGATCAGCATCGCCCCGCGCCCCGGGCGCCCAATGTCATGGAGGAGGCGCCGGAGCCGGGCTGCGCGCGGCCGCTCCCACCTCCGGCGGCCGGGTCGGGCCGCGCCGCCGCCGCCGCGGGTCCTCGGGCCGCGCAGGCTGGAGCGGCGATGGGGCGAGGCCGCCGCTGCTCCGCTCCGCCCCGCCCGCTCCGAAGGTGCCCGGGACCGCTGGCGACCTCCTTCTTTCATTCACAAAAAAAGGAAAGGGGGAAAAGAGAGAGAGACTCCGGAGGAAAAAAAAAAAAAAAAAACAACGGGGAGGGAGTGATGAATTGCACAAGAAGGCTGGGTGACAGACTCCGCCCACCACAGCGCGCGGTTGGTGGAAAGGAGTTTGGGGGGCGGGGAAAGAAGGGGATTGGGAACCCCGGCGGCCCCGCCCACAGCGCACTCCCTCCCTCCCCCCGTCCCTCCCTCCCTCCCTGCCCTCCTCCCTCCCTCCCCGTACTTCTCCTCTGGGAGTGGCAGGGCGCAGGTAGTCTAGGCTTGCTCCAAGTGCCAGGTTGCGTCCCTCTACCTGGTGAGGCTAAAAACCCCTCTGGTCTCCCAAGGGATTGGCCCCTTTCCCTCCGGGAAGCTGAGAAAGAATTCCAGGAGCCATCCTAGTGAGTCCGTCCTGGAAGAGATGCGAATTAGAGGAGGGGAACTCGACATTTTTTCCCTGTCCTTTATTTTATTTTTTAAAAATATATATTTTATTGATTTTTTTACAGAGGAAGGAAGAGGGATAGAGAGCTAGAAACATCGATGAGAGAGAAACATCGACCAGCTGCCCCCTGCACACCCCCTTCTGGGGATGGGCCTGCAACCAATGTACATGCCCTTGACTGGAATCGAACCTGGAACCCTTCAGTCCGCAGACCGATGCTCTATCCACTGAGCCAAACCGGTTTCACCTTTTCCCTGTCCTTTAACCTAGTCCTCCACTGCTTGCCCATGAGGCGACAGAGATAGCGTTTCTGCCATTTCTGCCGATGTGGGCATTTTCCTGGCGCCGAGTGTCTTCTCTCCATCACCACCCGGCAGCGGCAGCCTGGGCCTGGGGCTGGGTGGGTCCCAGTGCCCCCTGCACCTGTTTCCCCCCTAAGCCGTCTCCCCCTCTCTGTCCTCCTGCAATTTCCACTTCCACCCTACCCCCATACTATTGTCGCCAGGAGTTCGCCAGTATCTTTGACCTCTGAGAAAAATACCACCAAGACACTAGTCCTGGAGATAGTACCTAAGACGCCTCTGGGCTCTCTGTATCAAAGTATTCCTCTGTAAAACGGAGATAACGTCTGTAAGATGAGGGGTCCTCAGAGGAAGTTTCCATGTTCAAGGCTAGTTTGCCTATCATGATGCTGACTGCTAATCATTACAGAAGTTAGCTCAGTCTGGTGTTCTCGGTCTTGCCGTTTGCCTCTGGACACTTTTCAAAGCCCAGAGTGGCATGCCTTTCACTTAGCCCCCTCCATCACACCTCCAACGCATGCTCCAAAAAAAAAAAAAAATGCAAATCCACTCTAATACTACTTTATGCAAAATATGATTAGGAAGAAAATCCATTGCTGCCCCCACCCCCATTCAAAAAAAGCCAAATTTAAAAATGAATTTTGCACCGTCTGAAGCATGTTCCCCAATGGATATAATTGGAAGTTGTCCTTCAAGGTGTTCATGGTAAACATGCTTCCCCTGCCTCCTTTGGAACCTACCCGGAGCTGAAGAAGAGGTGGAGGATGAGTGAGGATGAGCTACCTCACACTTCTTTCCAGCGTGGACTCACTTTCCATAAAACAGAAAACAGTGTTTTGAATACATGCTTAGGAGAGAAACAACCACATACTTGTTTGAGGTTGAAGAGCCTCAACCCATCATCTCTAGCTGCTGGAAGTCACTTCTTGGTGGTACCACGTGTGAGTGTGTGTGTGTGTGGGGGGGGGAGGGTGGTAGGAGGTTGGCAGAGCGCCTTCCACCAGCACCCTGTTCCCCTCACCAGCTTGATTGCCAGCCTATTGCCTTCACCTTTCACAGGTCAGGCAGCAGGCACAGCCCCGGACAGCGCAGACCAGGAAAACAGACACCCTCTACCCAAAGCCAAGGGGCTACTGGGCCTGCAACCATGGGGCCAGGACCCTCTGGCCTTTTCCTTGTAGAAAAAGCCACAGTGCTCAACCAGGCTGGACTGTGGGGGTTCAGAGGGATAAGTTTGGCCAATTGAAATTGCACCCCCTGCCTACACTCTGTAAACTGTCTTGGGCAGAGCCAGGTGCTCTGCTGGGGAGGTGCCGGGGCGGCGGGGGTGGGGGGGGTGGGGGGGTGTGGGGTGGGTGGGTGGGTGGGTAGTATCACCTGATTCCCAGCCCTGCTTTCAGCCCACAATCCCCTTTCAGTTTTTCTTCAAAACAAAGTCCTTCTGGACTACATCACCTCTCAGGCATTCCCAGTCACAGCCCCCCTTGGCCCTCTCCCAGCGTCATAGTCCCCCCAAGACCGCTCCTCCTCAAAAACCAATTCTCTGCCTCCACCCCGTGGCCCTCAGTCTTTCTCACTGTTGAACCATCACATCCATGGCCCACCCTGGTCTGTCTGGGGGCCTCTGCACACCTCCCTCGGGCCAGTCTACGAAGACCCTGCCTGGCATTTCTCACTCCAGGCACCAGCTCCCAGCATTTTTCTCACCCCAGGGCGATGGAAGATTCTGGATGCAAGGGGCAGATCACCAGCTAGCTCCAGCCCTCAGCCCCTGCTTCATTTGTGGCTGATGTCAGGTCTCCTAACCCAGGCCTGGCCTTCAACTAACTCACCCCTCCCACCGATTTATGACAGACTCAGAACCTTGGCTTCTGGGCCAAGGATCTGCCTACCACATTTGCTCCATCTTTGTCCAGCCCTCCAGTGCCAGACTCCTGGAAAACAAGGACATTCCCCGAGGCCGGATCCCTCACCAGCAACCAAGGAGTTATCAGAGCCCTGTCCCAGTCCCCAGTTCCCAGCCTTCAGCAGTGGGTCATGGCGCAGGTAGCTCCCCCCGCCCTCCCCGCCCCCTTTCCCACCTCAGCTGCAGAGTCCATTTTCCTTGCTTCAGGCTACTTCTCAAGTCAGGCCCAGTGGGAGGCTTCTTCAGTCTCCTGGCCTCTTTCTCTGCTTCCTCTCATCTTCTGTTATTCATGCACGCACACCCCCACACACCAGCCTCCTCACCCATTTCCTTAGAGCGCTGCAGAATCAGCTGTTGATTCTCCCACTAGCTAGCTGTCCTTCCACTGGTGGGCCTGGGCAGTGCTCTGCCGTGGCCTGGCTTACTCACCCCAGGGTGGGCACAGGGGTGGGGGGGTGGGCAATGTGTGGCTGCAGTCTGGGAGGGGAGGGGGGCTATTGGCAGCCTAGAAGCAGGAGTCTAGTTTCCCACCTTCCTTCCATCTCTTCACTCATCAAAGCCCTCTTGTGATGCTTCCTTCTCATGAACCTGTCCCCACATTTGTTTCATCTTTGTCCAGCCCTCCAATGCCATATAGCTAGGTCACCACCTATCTCTATCCCTAGAACCACCCTCCTTAGGACATCACGTGGCTGCCATTTTCCTGAAGCTGGAGGCCCAGTCTGGGGAAAGAACTCTCCATCCTGGTTCTCAGAAAGGCGCCCACACAGCAGGCTCTCAGCACCAAGCCCTCCTGTCCCCGTGTCACTGCAGATCCTTCCCCAGAGCCAAGCTCCCTGTGCCCCACTCCAGCCTGCCTGTTCCATTTGCTTCACAGGCAGCTCCAGCCCTTCACCTATTTGCAGGCTTGTAACCTCTTTTCTCTCCGCTCCTCTCCAGGACGAAGCCTACCCCACAGGCTTTGTGATGTGAGCTCTATCCCCTCCCCCAGTGTGCAGAGTCTGGGGCATGTGGCATTGCTGCCCTGTGCTTGGGGCAAAGTTCAGAACCAGCTGAGAGCAAAAGCAGAGGCATCTCAGCATGCTGAGACCCAGCAGGAGGAAGGCATCAAACCAAAAGCTGGGAGTCTCTCAACCCCATGCCCAGGGCTCAGGGGCACGGCCAGGTCTCCACTAGGGGATGGGACCCTCCTGGGCCTTTACTCCAACAGTTCCCTCCACCTGAACACTCTTCTGCTTCCCACCTCCTGGGCCTGGATAATGCTTAGTAATCCTTCACATCTCAGCCGAGATGTCACTTCCTCTAGAAAGCCTTCTCTGAATACCCCCTATAAATTCTGGGTTCTCTGCTCTTGCCCTGTGCTCCCCTAATAATAATACCAGTCTCAGTACCCTATCACCCTTCTCTAGGGTCTTCCACTCCCCCTCAGTACTGAGAACTCTTTAGGAAGGGACTATGCTTATTCAAAAGAGTATCCTTCAGGCTGATCTGGCAGCAAGCACTCAGTAGGTACTCAGTAAACACCCGATGACTGAATGAATGAGGTGGGAAAACTTGATGGGGAGGGAATTCGCACCACCAAATGGCTATTCACATGTTGTCCAGAGAGGTCTTTCACGGACTATACTGATCTTTTCTTTGGGGTGTCATTGATCTGTGCTTCCTCCAGGCTCCTGATTGGGCTGGGCTGAAGGGGATGGGACAGGGAAGGGAAGGACAGTCGAGGAGGAATGAGCTCCCTGTGAGTTAACCAACGAGGCACAGCCAGGTTGGTCAGCCCAAATGGAGGGTCTTCCTCAGAGCAAGAGCATGGCTCCTGCTGGCCAGCCCCAGTGGGCTGAGACACTCACCTGGGGCCAAGACAAAGGTCACCCCGGGGTCAAGGGCTACTCCAGGGACAAGAACTGGGGTCATGGTTCATGCCATGCTGTGGGGCATTTACATATTCTAAACTGGCTTGGTAATTTGGAAAGAGCGGTCCAATGCCCACAGAAGGCCTGGATTCTGTCCTCAGGCAGCTGTGTGATGTCAGACAATTCCCTGTCCTCTCTGGGCCTCAACTTTCTCTTGTACAAAGACAGGTGACCTCCAAGATTCATTCCAGCACTGACACCCAAAATAGCTTCCTAGCATGGGGGCCCTGTATTTTATCAGCCATCCTTTTCATTAGAGCAGCTCCTGACCCAAATCGGGACTCAGCAAAATATCAGCTGATGGCTACCGAGGCTGAGAATGGAAGAAGGGGGTATTGGGGGGAGGAGGGATGGGCTGAAAGAGAACCTGATTCTGCAACCATCCCTACTTTCAGTTTCCTTAAATGGCCACTCACAATATGGGGACTAGTTCCAGCCAAAGGGAATTCTAGAATTTCAAGAGAGATGGGGAATAATCAAGGACAGGCGTGGAGAGGCCAGCCTGACCCCTCTGGGGCAGTTGGCACTGGGTTGTTAGAGGGTGATGGAAGGGCATCTCTGTCACAACCCCCAAGGAGCAGGATGGTGACAAGCCAGAAGAAAGCCGAGGGAACAAAGACCCCCCAAATGTGGGCAGAAATGTGGGCAATAGCAGCCCTGCTAGTCTCTATGCCACAAAGAACTGGCTGTGTGATGTTGGGCAATGACCTTGCCTCTCTGATCTTCCATTGGGGATAACAATGTGACTTGCCCAACGCTAGGGGGTGGCTAAATGGCCTTCTCACGGCACCTTCCAGAGCTGAGATCAGATGAGACTGTGCGATCCTTCTAACTCCCCTTTCACTCCTGCCTGCTTCTCCCCGCACAGACCCATGCTTAGCACCCCTGTGTAAAGCGGGCCCCAACCCTATTTGTGTCTGTGCCACCTGGGCTGCCTATGGGGAGCAGATGGAACAGAAGACATGGGCAAAACTGGGGTGGGAATTTCTGAGTGTCGAACTAAGCGGGGGTTGGAAAATCTATGCCGACGCTGGCGCTGGAGCCCAGGAGATCTCCTGGGAAGTAAACAAACAGGGTGAGGCAGCAAAAGGAACACAGTGAGACTCCTGCTTGGGATCCTCAAGGCCCAGCTGGCCCCTTGCAGACCTGGGGCCACTGTGGGCCGGCAAGGCTGCTCAAGCCAGGAAGTGAAGAATCCACTCCCCATCTGGTCTGGCCGGAGCCTCCACTGGTAGACATAGGAGCGTGCGGGCCCCTCTGCCCACTCACCCACAATCCTCTACCCTGGCCTTGCCTCCCAGGAGCCACCGCTGGCTGAGGCCTCCGCATACTCCATAGACTGCTCCTTTGAAGCAGGAAAACGTGAGCGCTTGGTTTATGTCTTTAAAGAGCTGAAATGCACCATCACGCATGCCCTGGAGGAACACATGGCCCACCGAGTCTCCTGGGATGTGGGTTTCTTAGGACCGGACCCTGGAAATCACCACCAGGTAGGCCTTCAGCAGAAAGAAGCCAGATGGTGTTCCTGCTTCTGCCTTCCTTTATAAGCAGAGAAGTCACACGAGGGAGGGGCAAAAATGCACCCCCCAGCCACAGGGTGTCCAGGACTAAACCTTCACTTTTATGCAAACTGCAGACCGAGCGGGCAGGCCGAGCCACACAGAGCGGGGAGGAGGAGCTCCGAGGAGGCTGATCACCCCAAAATAGACTTTTTTTTTTTTTTTCTTCACAACTTTTTCATGAGGCATTGGCATCTTGCGGCATGGGAAAAAAATAGCCCGAACCATCAACAAATAAAGATTATAAAAAGCCCCAACTGTTCCCCGTGAGTTTCCACGTGGCCGTGGTGCTCTAGAGGGGGCTGGAAGGAGGGTGGGGGAGGGGGCAGAGGAGGTGTGTGTCCAGGAGTCGCCAGTCTCCTCTCTTCTAACCCATCCTGCCCCTCGGAAGCTGGTCCCCCTGCAGCCTCCAGGGCTAAGGACCGATGTTAGGGGTGGGAAGGTCTGTGTTGCCCCTCAGAGGTGGCTGGCTGCGTGTGGATTGCTGTTTACTGCTCCAGGATGAGGAATGCGTGGCACAGGAGGGGCCGTCTTAAAAACACGCCCGGTAGCAATGAGGCCGCTTTAAATAAGGCCGCCCCACTGCGTGGACACGGCTTGTTTGGTAAATACTTAGAGGGCGCAGTACTCTGGCCAAGGTCAGCTTACCCTGAACTTGAGCCTCCCCCTGGGCATTGCTGTGCGTCAGTAACCAGAGCTGAGTTGGGGGGGTTGCAGCTGCTTTTGATCCAGATGAAAGGCTTTTGTGGGTGATTCCAGGGAGGGACCTGGTCCTCACCTGCACCCTGACTTCCCCTTGCGGGGCTCCAGGCCAGACCCATTCCTGTACCCTCGGCCTCAGGCCCGGAGCCTTCCTGGAACTGGGACCCCAACATCACAAGGAAGAGAATGTAAAAGACGCTGGAGTGGAGTCTGGAACTGGGTTCCTGGCCCCTCGGGGTCCTGAGGACAGTCAGGAGGTTATCTGGGGAGCCTCTAGCCTCTAGCCCTGACTTTTATAACCAGAGGAGAGGAATGCCCCCCAGCTCCCCACACTGTGCTCCCCACAAAGTCTGGGATCCGTCAGGGACCCACTCCACCTGCCTTTACAGACCCCCTTTCTTGTATCATCTCCTCCTCTCCTCTCCTTCTCCCTTCTTTGTCTCTCCAAGTCTCTCCTCTCCTTCCCTTCCCTCCCGGGCAGAGATTTCTGTAAAAGCACACGCATGTGGCTCTGGTCATAGAGAGGAGGGTGGCAAGCAGGCAGACAGCCAGAACGCTGGGGGCGCTGATGCGCATCAGGCAACCCTAGACAGGTAGGCGGGCGGAGAATGCTGAGCAGACATTTCCTAAGTTGGTGGCAGAGGAGAGTGGCCTATAGGGCCACTGCATTGTCTCTGGCTTCTCTGACTGAAAGCTTTCTCAGGCTCCAGCAGGCCACCTCAGGAAAACGGCAGCCCCTCCCAGGGACATGGCTGAGAGAAGGGAAGGGCTGTGCAGAGGAGCCCATGTCCCTGGTCCCAGCGGAAGCTCGCTCTGCAGGGCCTGGCCATCCGCAGTTTCCCGGGCCCCGGGGCATGGCATAAAGCGAGCTGGGGAGAAGCCCGGCAGACCAGACCCCAGGGAGCCGCCACGGGGACACAGAGGGCCAGGGAGCCGGTGCGCAGAGGTAGAAGCTTCTGAGGAACAGGTCAGCCCCTTCCACTGCCCGTGGCCCAGGTCCCTGGGCGGAGAGCCAGGGGTGGTGGGTTGCTGCTACCCAGCTTCTTGCAAACACGGTCCAGGTTTCCACCAAGGCCTCAACTTAGTCTGGGAGTCTGGGCTAAGGGGCTCTGAAAGTTCCTGGTCACCCTGCCTTTCTCCCAACCTGCCCTTTCCTTCCTCCTAGGGGGCGCCCTGGGAGCCTGAGCTATGAGTGGAGGCCAGGGCTGCAGAGGCCCCACGAGGAAACTCTTGTGCTGCCAGCTCCACGTGCCACAGGAAGCCACGGGGTGGCCGAGTGGCTCCACGCCCCTGAGCTTACAGGGCTCCAGCCGCCATTCACACGTGCATCGCCGAGGACCTGGGCCAAGGTACATGGAGGTTTCAGTCCAGTTTTATTCCCAACCTACTCAGACCTGGCCAGGCGCTGTCAGGTTGGCAGTCCTGGCCGCACTCT